CTCTAATTTGGTGGTTTTTGACCAATTTATAAGTGATGTTAATGAAATTTCGCCAAAATCTGCTACAAGGCTACAAGCAAGAAGCAGGTGCTTTAGTTTTTAGATCGAAAATGAAAGCACAAAACATGTGACAGGCCAAGAGTGATTGAAGGCAACTCTTCACTTGTTCAGCCACCGAATTCTTTTCACCCTTTACAAGAAAAACTGCCTCCAAATTTAATAGCGAGCAATAGTGGAATAATAATTCATATAAACACGAGGGTGAATGAAATATGAACCGAACTTCTATTTTAGTAATTTTATTGGTACCTATCGTAAATACAAGTTTAATTACATCTTATTTGTCTACATAATCTTATCTCTTATGGATGCATTTTTCCCATCAGATCCGAAGTTTTTTATTTCCCCATTAAAGAATGAAGCTGTTCGAGCCAGTAGCCAATTGTGCAAACCGTTTCCACACGTTCGTCGTCGTCAAAGTGGTGACCTCCGAGGTCTTCTCCAAGTGGCCCAGACATGTGATATACACTTGTCGACAAATCGGGAATGCAGTATCTGAATGCTGAATGGCAGTTCGAATAGGCATGTCTCGCCTTTTTCTCCGATAGGCCACTTTCACTTCTTTAGGCAGTTGGCAGTAGCAGCATCAATTGTACGGAGATCGTGAAGAAAATCAACTAGCAGTATACCTCTGGAATCTCGAAATCCCGTTGCAAGAACTTTTCCCGTAGAAAGACTGATCTTGCCTCTTCGCGGTGCTGCTTCTTCAGGTTTTCGCTGCGCCATATAGGTTGTTTTCAAAAGTCTCGTTCACAAACTGAATAAAACTGTTAATAGCTGCTGTGGTGGAACTATTTTTCCTAAAACCAAACTGTGTTGAGCAGAATAAATTATTAGCCTCAAAGTATTCATTAATTTGATCTTTCAACAATAATTCCAAAATTTTCGCAAAAATAGGTATTAATGAAATGGGCCTGTAGTTGCATAACTCTTCAGTATCCCCTTGTTTGAAAATGGGTATAATTTTAGATAGTTTGAAGAAATCCGGAAAAGTATTACTTTATAAACACTGATTGAATAACTTGGTTAGAGGATATATGATGAGATTTTGCAAGGTTTTAACAATCCTGACAGTAAAGCCATATGTCAGTACTCTTTGAGTTTTTTAGTTTATTTATGGCAGTTCTCACATCATGATATGAAACTTCCCTGAATCGAAAGTGTGAACTATGAGTAGGATGATTCATATAATGCGATGGAGAAACATCGGATGGGGTAATTTTATTTAAAAGTTTTTGTGGGATATGGGTAAAAAAGTCGTTGAATTGATGTGCTGTGAGAGATGTTGAGGAGTCCTGGTTGTGTGCGTTCGGTTTAACATTCTTTATGATATTCCAAGCAGCATGTTGTCTGTTGTTGGATTTATTAATGTAGTCATCATTGGCTTTCATCTTAGCTTTGACAATTTCTTGTCTGTAACTGCATTTAAATAATTTAACAATTATTGTTTCAAGCAGTTATCGCCGAACCTTGTTGTTAATCGTCGCAAAATTTCGGAAGGACTTACGCCCTCCCGCGACAAAAATGTTATGATAATGACATAATGTTACTAACAGCTCATCTACTTCGCGCGCCAAGCCGAATGACTCCTCTCTTCTTGACATCCCCACCCAACATATACCAAGATGTCGCCCCACTCCATTCACCTAAAAAAAAGTCCGGTTCATATTCGATTCGCCCTCGTAATACAGGCGTTAGAGCGCAGAATTACAAAGTAAAGTAACCAGCATACCGAGTCGCCGTCATAGCTAAAACTTTACCACTAATTTGAATAGTGACTCTGGGAACTTAACTTGTGAGTCTGCTCTAAAAGCCTGAAACGATTTCAAGGGACATTCCACACTCCAGTTACTAGGGTACCTTGTATCTTTATAGTAGTTTTGTGTAACAACATTTTTTACCTAAATGGCCATACAACGAAGTTAGAGAGTGATCAGTTTGTAGCGGGACACCCTGTATATAGGTGTTGTGTGTATTTAGATGTGTGCTTATGACGAAATTATGTGTTTGTAATTTACGTTTTATCTGTTTTATTTATTTTTAATTGTGTATACTTATATTATAAATCTATGTAATGCGTGCAAAGCCATACGCTAAATAAAAAAATTTGACCTTCAGGGCTTGGAGTATCACACCCTCGATTTTGTCATTGTATAATACTCACAAAAAGGAAACACATTCCACCGCTTTCTGAGCTCAAATTGTACCCCCTTCAGATTTAATAAAGCATGTCTCAACAAGAACGCCGGATTTGAATTTGTCGCCATTTTTTTTGTACAAATGGTATGGTGTCATGGAGCAGTATTCAAACGAGCAACGTTTAATTATTGTGAGAACTCACTATGAAAATGGAGAAAATTACGCAGAAACAGTTCGCAAATTACGTACAACTTTAGGTCGCAAAAATGCACCGAAAGAGTCGACAGTTCGCCGTCTAATTACAAAATTTGAGACAAAATTCCCGTTGCTGAATGTGAAGACCATTCGCCGGCCTAGTCGGTCCCTCGAAAAAATAGTCGCAGTTCCAGAAAGTGTGGCCGAGAATGCAGGAACTTCCATTCGGCATCATGGCCATGAATTGAACCTTACCAGACCCACTCTGCAACTCTAATTTTCACAAAAGATATGTGCTTGCATGCGTACAAGGTTCAACTGACGCAAGAACTCAAGCCAACGGATCATGCGCAGCGACGTAAATTCGTTGATTGGGCGCTGGAGCATCACCAAATTGATGCGGATTTCTCGAAGACTATCATTTTCTCTAATGAAACACATTTTCAACTGAACGCTTACGTCAATAAGCAGAACTGCTGAATTTGCGGTTCTGAAATATAAATTCGAAAAGAAATTGTGATTTTCGTGAAAATAATCCGGCGCTCTTATTGAGACACCCTATTTGCCAATGGGTCATTTTAAAAATCAAAACAGCCACCACACACAGAAAGAAAAGATGATCATGTTTTCCAGCTTCTGATGTTACAAAGCTTCATTTTGCACTAGGCCATTCATCTAATCATTATATACAGGGTGTTTTAGTTTATTGTTACATAACTTTAAGATTCGATAGAACTTTTAAAATTAATGCATAAAGTCTATATAAACATGGGTCGAAAAATGCGTGGCTTCCGAAATACAGGGTGTTTAAATTTGCTTTCTAAAATAGTTTTTTTTTAATATTTCGAACAATATTTGATGCATAACAGTGAAAATTGGTATACAAGGGTTTTTTGGTACGACAAAACTATGGGCATAGTTTTACTGTAGCCGCTAGAGGGCGCTCTCTACTGTACCTGTAGTGTATTAAAATGACCGAAAATTTTTTCTTACTGCATTTTTTTGCTTTCTGAATAAAAAAACTGATTCCTCGCACTTTTCAACATAAAAAAGCTCTCTTGTGAGTTTTCGTTATAGTTAGCCGTTTTTGAGATATTTCGATTTTTAAGGTTCGATGCATTTTTAATTATTTATGGGAAAATAATATTCTTTTTACATTTTCGATTTGGGCATTACAAGTAATTAAGATGATCGTTTAGATTGTGTTTTTAAATACAGCAATAATTCCTAACTCCAAATAAACACAAAAAACAGAATATTAATTTGTTTAATATTCCAATATTATTTTTAACAAATTAAATTAATTATTTACAACTAAAATGCTCTTGGATAGTTAGAACAAACGTACAAAATCTAAAGTAGTTGTTCGAAATGTAAACCCAATTGTTCAATACACAATTCACATCTACGAATGATCGAACGTGGTATAGCACTATTCAAATAAGGCCTTATTTCATCACATGCATTCCTGATTCTGTCTATTAGCATATCTCTTGTGGTTACGGGAGTCTGGTACACTTTTTTTTAGAAATATCCACACAAAGAAATCTAATGGATATAGGTCAGGGGATCGTGGAGGCCAGGCGACTGGTCCTCCACGGCCGATCCATCTGTCTGGATAATTTTCGTCCAGCCAGTTTCTAACTATGTATTCTCGAATAATGAGCTGGACAACCATCAAGCTGGAACCAGGCCAATCTTCTTAAATCTAACATAACATCATCCCACATATTTGTATGTTCAGCCTTTAAAAATTCCAAGAAGGTCGCAGCATTTAACCTTGCAGGCAAAGGGTAGGGTCCAAATAGTCGATTACGGTAGATACCAATCCACACGTTCACACTAAATTCATGCTGATAATTTCTTTCCCGAACTGCATGCGGATTTTCATGTGACCAAATATGTTGATTATGAAAATTTACCACTCCACGTCTAGTGAAGTATGACTCATCGGTCCATAAAACGTTACTTAAAAACTCCCTATTATTATCAGTTCTATCAAGAATCTACTGACAAAATGTGATTCTTCGTTCTCCGTCCCCTGGCTGTAGTCCTTGCACAGGTTGCAAATGGTAAGGACGTCTATGGTCATTTCTAAGAACACGGTGAACATGGCTTGCTGAAATTCCCAAGGCACCAGAAACACTCCTAATGGCTCGTTTACACAGTGCGAGCTGCTGACTAGACAGTAGACAGCTACTTGGATGGTCTACTCGTATGCCAGTAGCTCGACTCGCCTTAGTTGTTTCCACGATGATAGTAGCTGCCCAGTATCTTCCGAGTTATCGCGATGTCGAGTCAACTTGCTGTGATTAAAAAAACGGTGATAAGGTCTATGACAATAATATTATGTGAAGAATTGGAAAAATCCTACAAAAAACTTCAAAAAAAGGAGAGGAAGAAAAAGGTTTGGATTAGAGATTGGATGGCAAGACGATCTATAGGGGCAAAATGTGCGATTTTCAAGGAGCTTTGTCATGAAGACCCCCGAGAATATAAAGCAGTGCTGAGAGTGACACCCGAACAAGTTGAAAAAATTTTAAATTTAATAAAAATGAAAATAGAGCGTCAAGAGACTTTTATGAGAGATGCCATACCAGTAAGGGTAAAGTTAGAAGTAGTCATGTGTTTTCTAAGCTCAGGAATATCATACAGGCTGTTAGCAATATTTTTCAGGATTTAAAAATCCTCCATATCAAAATTTATTCCAGAAGTTTGTGACGTTATGTATGAAGCTTTGGACGAATATTTGCAGGTAAGTAGAAATGTGGTAAATGTTTCATGAGTTGATTCTTCAAAGGTTCAGTTAACTTATTCAATGGCACATGTGTGGATCATACATAAATTCATTCATTTATTAAAGACAAACCAAGTCATACAAAATTAACACAAAACTAACACAGAGGATAAAAGTTATTGAATATTGTTCATATCATGATGCATTTGATGGTTGTCCAACAACTGTTTGAACTGGCTGCCGAGAAACTGTTTCTGCGGGCCAATCAGATATTGGGACAGGTCCTGGAATGAATCACTGGTTCACTGGATCCTGGTGATGTCATCGATATATAGGACGTTTGCGACGATGTATTATATGAGGAAAACGCAGATGTGTTTCGGGCATATATAGCTTTTTTCGGTATCGGGAAAGTACTTGTTGGATTTCATCTTTGGCGTCTATAAAATCGAGTAATGGCAGCTGTCTCAGTTGAATAGCGACATGTTTTCCAATAACATCGTACTCATGACATTGCTGAGAAAACAACTGGAAGTTTGTATAGTACTATTTAGTTGTTTAAGCTCATTAATAGCTGCTGCAATTCCACTCGTTTCTTGGGTACTTTATTTTATTTTTAACTTGAGCTGGATTTTTATTTTTGATCAACGAGCTGTCGCTGGAGTCGATTGATTTATTATCAGTTTTATCATCAATGTCCCGACTAACATCATCTTCCAAAATTTTGGATCCCGATGGTGTATCGTCAGGCTGAAATGAAAATACTAAATTAATATTTTTTCAGGTACGAGACAAAAAGGAATGGGAAGACATACAAGTAGGATTTCACCACAGGTGGAATTTTCCAGGATGTTGTGGAGCCATCGACGGCAAACATGTGGCAAATCAAGCTCCTCCCAATAATTGTGGTAATGAATACTATAATTATAAAGGAACAAACAGCTTGGTGCTCTTAGCAGTCGTGGATCATGACTATACTGTTTTAAATATGTGGACATAGGCTCATATGGACGAAATTCCGACGGTGGTGTCTTCCAGGCTTCCTCATTGTATCCAGTGTTGGAAAATGGGTCATTACTGCCAGAAGGTGGATTCCTAGTGGGAGATGATGCTTTCCCTCTTAAGACCGCCTTATTGAAACGATATCCCAATGAGCCCACGATTGCCGAAAAAATTTACAATTACAGATTCACTAGGGCAAGACGCATAGTAGAAAATGCATTTGATTTTTTAGTATCTCGATTTTGGCAAAACCTATCCAGTTGCAAGAGGAAACCGCAATAAAAATGATTCGAACTACATGTGTACTGCACAACTGGTTGCGCAAATCTTCACTTCATACCTACACACCACCTGGTAGCATAGATTATGAAGATATTGTAAATTTCACTACGAACCTAGGAACGTGGAGATCAGAAATAAATGCGTTACCAAGTATCGCCCGTTCGCGGATCAATAACAGATCAAAGATCGCAGCTGAAAAATTGAGGGAAAAATACAATTTTTTTTGTGATGAGGGTGCTGTCACCTGGCAAAATTATATGATTAATAATAACTAAATGTAATGAACTATCTCAGTGGAATAAAATATCAGGTACTCACCAGATTGCTTGTTGTTTCCTTTTCTTTCAAATTAATTGTTTTCATTATATAATCCATTATATCGAACCATTTTAAGGATGACTTGTAAACATCTTCCAACCCAGATCCACTCTTTTTACTTTTTTCGATTTTCGCGCGTTCTTGGTTATAGGTAGATCATAATTTTTTTATTTTCTGAGTTACCTCATTGGTGTTAACTAGACTCATTTCGTTTGCAATGTATTGCAAAGATGCTTTTCTAATATCTCTATTTTTATGATTTTTATCAAAACAATTCCATAGGTTTTCTGGTTCTCTGTAGAGATTCATGAATGTAATATTATTCTCAGAAGACCTCCTTTCTGAGCCCATTTTGAATTGGGTAAACGCTTTTGGCGCAGCACACATAAAATACAGCTTCTGCTTCCTAATTGCGGGCTGACAGTGGCGAGCTACTGCCGAACATGTCCGAACGATGCGAATGACGTCCGAGCTGTCGCCATATGCGCGTTGCTGTCGGCCCAGTAGGCGAGTGAAAACAAAAATTGTTGAAGTAACTCGGATGCGAGCTACTGTCCGGATTTATGCGAATTACTGCACTGCAGCTACTCGGCAGGCTGACTCGTACGCTAGCTCGCACTGTGCAAACGAGCCATAACACTTGTGGTCGGATCTCTATCAAACTCACGCAGAATCATACGGGTAAATCTGCGCTGACGAACATTTATGTTTTATCCCTTTGGAGATTTCCACCATTTTCAATTATTTGGCAATGCACTCGTACAAATACTGAGCGAATTGGATGTCGTCTGTTTGGAAATCTTCGTGCGTATTCACAAAATGAATATCCGCTAACTCTTGATTGCAGAATAAAAATGGCATTTTTATAAAACTTACAGAAAAAAACAGGTAAAAGAAACTAAATTTCGTGCATTCACAATTGCAAAAAAACGTTTCAGGTTTCAACAGACAACAAAACTAACTGTCAACTAATTGACGTTTACCCTTATTCTGCTTTCAATTTCAAAAATATTTACAGGCACAGCCTACTTCTAAAAATTATCGAGATACTGACTTTTTAATGTTATTTTATCTTAAATAATAAAAAATGCGTCGAACCTTAAAACTCTAAATGTCTCAAAAACTTCTAACTATAACGAAAATTCACAAGAGAGCTTTTTTATGTTGAAAAGTGCGAAGAATCAGTTTCTTTATACAAAAAGCAAAAAATTGCATTATTCAAAAATTTTCGGTCATTTTAATACACTACAGGTACAGTAGAGAGCGCCCTCTAGCGGCTACAGTGAAACTATGCCCATGGTTCGTTTTGTCGTACCAAAAAACCCTTGTATGCCAATTTTCACTGTTATAAATCAAATATTGTTCGAAATATTTGAAAAAAACTATTTTAGAGAGTAAATTTAAACACCCTGCATGTAGACTTTATGCATTAATTTTAAGAGTTCTATCGAAACTTAAAGTTATGCAACAATAAAATGAAACACCCTGTAGAAAACCATCTCCTCACGTATGTTTCAGATTTAACCTATGTCAGGGCTCAGTCCAGAATATCCGGAAAATCTGCAATCTCCTCATAGACCGCGTTTACAGGCCGAGCATCGGAAAAAAAGATCCTGATTTCCTGTCCATGACCAGATACATGCTGAACGGAATGTGGTGCATGACCCCCAGCTTAAAATACGAGTCTACCTTAAGCTACGTATGGTTCTTGCTGCAAGATGGAAACTGTTCGTTAGAAGATCTGAAACCTCACTACTTTGAACTCACTGCCTACCAAAGCTTCAAAATGTACCTGACCCACTATGTGATGTGCACTCTGTTTGCGTACAATTGGTTCAGGGTGTTCCATAATTACGTTCATAATGTATCTGTTTGGCTGATGAAGAATTTCCCATTCTTGGCTTATTATGAATTTGGATTTAGGGACTCGAGAGTGGTGTTGAATTTGAAGAAGGTTGAGTAGGTTAGGTGTCATTGATCTACTGGTACCCGGTAATGAGGTTGAAGATATGTAAATTGTGGATATTTTTGTAAGAACAAAAGGTATTAGATGATTGGAGATTGTTAATCATTGTTCGTGGGTAAACAATATTTTCTAGAAATACATTATTTAAGCCTTGTGTAAACATTCGGGCCCATCCACTCATCACCTATCAATACATTTTATTACTGTATATATACATATTTTGTACACACTAAGTATTAATATATTTTGTACGCATTTTCGTATGTTTTATTTCATTTTCGCTTGTTTTTCATAACAAGAAAAGGAATTAGCTTTGAGATTTGTCACTTTTTGCTTGGGCTTGGGAAATGTGCTTTGGTCTGCTCGACTTGTCAACTCAATTTAGACATTGACTATACCCCATTCGGAGTCCATTTACGCCCAGACAAAACAACATGCCCAAAAGCGAGATTGTACAGGTCCGTATTTTGCTCAACGGTCTTGGAATAATCTAACAAAATAAATGATTATTTTTATAGAAAGAAGTGCACATACTTTTCACAATCCTTTATTCGCTCGAAGTGCTTGAATCATCGTCCGAATGGTTAGTATTAATTATTACAGGTTCAATTTGAATGTCGACCATATTGTTCAGATCCCACAAACTTGTTTCGATTGTGTCTTGAACGTGACGGATGCAATCTTTCCGTCACTCTGTTGCCAGCAAGTACTTAGAGAAATGTGGTGCTTCTACGATTCAATGGCATTGTGCAAGAGGCTATCCTGTTAAAATTATGAGACGATGTCCATACAGGGTGGCGTATCGAAAACGAAACAGACGCATTTACTGGCAGCTTAGTTTTTTTTTGGAAAAACGCTCAGACCCCTCGATTTTGTTTTCGAGGGGTACACAAGTTTGGCAAAAAATCACTTTGCACACCCTAAAATCTTAAATGGAAGTGATACCTTATTTTCCCATTATAATGATGTAAAATACATGAGCTTCACTTCAGTAGCTTTGAAGATTTATCGGTTCAAAGCTTAAAGTAGACTTTAATAGGTACATCAGATTAGTTTGTACTACTGTCAGAAGAAATTTGACTAAAAGAATTTACTTAGTAAGTAAATGCTTTTCTTCACTACGCCCATGGTTTGTTTATTATTTTGTTGTTGAAAATAGCTATTGGAGCGTTTTTTTGTGACAAAAAACTTATTTCTTGAAGAAAGATAAGGAAATATCTCGTACATATTTTAAATAGGAATTTAGTACATAGTTTGCGATTGGTTTGACCAAACTTTGTTGCTAAAATAACCACAGCAGAAAGAGTTGAAATTATCGAAATATTTTTTGGAAATAATCAGTGCGCTAATAGAACAGCCGAGATATTTAATGAGCGACATGAGAACAGTATCGTGCGTTGAAAATGTGTTCTAAACTGTATCCATCGAAGAAACAAAGTAAAATCAAACATATACACCCGTATTGCACGTGATCAAGAACTTAACCGTAGGAGACGCTACAGGGCCGTATCAAGCTATTGTGACTGATCTATCAAAAAATGTCGTACAAGATATATGTTGCTGTAAATTCTATCAAAAGCATAGTAAATTATCAGGAATATGCCACGCCTTTCTAATCATATTTCGACATTAGGAATCAGTGCAAAAAATTCTGTATTCACCATTTCAGCAAAATGTTACTAAAACGCACAGGAAAAAAACTTGTGGACCATCTCAATTAAAATTGTTCATATTTTATTATTAACTTACATATATACCCAATAATATTTACAAATCAACCTTCTATTCACAATGCAGAGCAAATTTTTTTGAGCAAATAGAAACTACAGACGTAGTAGTAGTAGTACAAAAGTTTATTACAGACTCCATAAAGTTTGTTAGTTTGATTGCTATTAAAATTTACATGAGAAATGGGAAGAAGGTCAAAATGGCACTATTATGCTTTGGAACTCCTAAATTAACATTAATAACTAGAAACTTACACTTTGATTGCAGTCTATAATGAACTTACCTGTCTTGCCAAAAAGCCCGTTAAACTGCCAGTCTTAATGGTATCAATCGATTTATATGCTGTATTCCGAGGAGCTTGAATCATCAGAATTGTTGATGTCAATTATAAGGGGTTCAACTTGGGTGTCAATGATATTGTCCATATCCCACATTTTGGTTTCAACCTTCTCTTGGACATGGTCAATACATGTTCTCCATTTTGCTGGCGTAATTCTATCGACAGCAACATCAAACCGTTTTTTAAGGCCAGAAAACTTAAAAGTGCTGTTATTTGACGCCACGTATTGCTTGATGTCGGCCCAAATCAACTCGATAGGATTCAGTTCGCAGTGATAGGGAGGCAGCCTGAGAATCGTTTTATTTTGGTTTTTGGCCATTTCGTCAACAATTTTTAAATCATATTTATACTTATGTCGCTTGACTATATTTATCAGCTCAGCTTTGACCATTGTTTGGTCGAAGTCGATCTTCTTTGAGACAAGCCACTGTTGAATGTCTGCCTTTTTGGTGGCCATTGTTGGAATTTTTTCCAATTTTCTGTAGTGGTACGGGGCATTATCCATCACAATAATTGCGTTATCATCAAGTGTCGGCAAAATTTTTTTGAACCAATTTTCAAATGAGTTACCATCCATTTCTTCGTGATAGTCTCCAGTTTTTTTGGATTCAAATGCCCACAATGCTTCAGGAACAAATCCAACTACGCTACCTATATGGCAAATGATCAGGCGTTTTCCCTTGCCTGAAAGTAATTAGTTATTTTACTTCTCAGCGAGCGCACTAAATGACGAAATTAAGCAACTTACTCTTTTTAGGTTAGTGTAGGATAGGGTCTTAGATTAGTTTTTGGGTGAAGGAAATACTCAGAAACTTGGATGAGATAGCAAAACTGAGTTCGGAGCTTCCAAATCATTGATTCCATCAGAAAATGAATTATCTGCATCCAAAAAAGTTCATATACTTCGAAACTTACCTGCAGGATTTTTCAATCCCGTCGAAAGGCCATCTAAAAAAGCCTGCCTTGAGGACCTCACAGATCTGTCTACCCAAACCTTTCCCTGCGTATGCCCCGCGTTCACCC